ATCTGTGGGGCGCCTGGGTGGCTCAGTCGGTTAAGTGTCGGACTTCGGCTCAGGTCATGATCTCACCGTTCGTGAGTTCGAGCCCCGCGTGGGGCTCTGTGCTGACAGCTCAGAGCCTGGGGTCTGCTTCGGATTCTGTGTCTCCTTCTCTCTCTGCCCTTCCCCCACTTGTGTTCTGTCTGTCTCTCAAAAATAAATAAATGTAAAATAAAAAATTAAAAAAAAAAGAATTCAAAATCTGTGAACATAACTTTGTTTTAAAAGTAAACACAGGGTCTCCTGCCTGGCTCAGTCAGTGGAACACATGACTCTTGATCTCTCGGTCTGTGAGTTCGAGCCCCGCGTGGGGCTCTGTGCTGACAGCTCAGAGCCTGGAGCCTGCTTTGGATTTTGTGTCCCCCTCTCTCTCTGCCCCTGCCCTGCTCATGTTCTGTCTCTCGCTGTCTCAGAAATGAATAAACATTAAAAAATAATAAATAAATAATTTTTTTAAAAGGGTAAAAGTAAACACAAATCCTCAATTCTTTCCAAAGTTATTACTGTGTGTCCTTGACCAAGTTACATGGCCTCTCTGAGCCACCCGTGTTTTCCTCTTCATTCCATAAAATAGGGGAAATATTATCTATCTCACAGGGCTGCAAAGATTAAATAAGAAATGGTATTCAAAGATAGTACTTGAGGGGAGTCTGAGTGGCTCAGTCAGTTAGGGGTCTGGCTCTCGATAATGGCTCAGGTCATGATCTCACAGTCCATGAGTTCAAGCCCCATGTCAGGCTCTGTGCTGACAGCTCAGAGCCTGGAGCCTGCTTCAGATTCTGTGTCTCCCTCTCTCTCTGCCCCTCCCTGCTTGCTCTCTGTCTCTCTCTCAAAAATAATAAACATTAAAAAAAATTTTTTTTTAAATACCACTGCCTAAATACTGGAGCATGCTGTGGGAAAAATAAAATTTAACTTCAAAATCAAGCTTGAAACTGATTGAATGAAAGATGGGGCAAAACACAGAGAGGAGGGCCTTGAAGGTATGGCTGGAATGGGAGAAAGGATGACAAGGGTTTTTATGGAAACTTCTGGCAAGCGCATTATAACTTAAAGAGGCCGAGAACACGGAGTTGCTATAACTCAGAGCACCTGAGACAGGTTAAGGGGTTCACTGCAGTCTGACTGTAGCAGCTTTAGTAGGATCCTTTGAAAATTATTTTTTTATAAACACTTTTTCCCCCAAGGAAACAGAGTCACAACATTAATTAATTTAGGGGAAAAGATTTTTAACCTCAAATGCCTGATCACTGCTATGCTGACCCTGAGTCCTTGTTGGATTACCTGTCTGCCCTCTTCTTTTCCAGAACCTGGTGGCCTCCCTTCAGGGAGACCGTGGATTTTCTCAGCAAGACCACAGACAAACCAGAAATAAAAATAAAGACTAAGCATGTCCCAGCACAGACTGGCCGGCCGGTCATTCTACCTGAGCCATACACAGTGTCCCCTGCATGTGGATATCAGCTACACACGATATGGTGACCCTCCTGCCCCACCACCACCGTGACGCATCGTGGGTGTGGAGGGAGGGGAGTCCTGCTCAAATCGGATGGACCTAGGAGAAGCAGGAAATGGGCAGGCTACTATTTCTTCCACTTCTGTCTTTGGCTAATGGGGCTGGAGTGGTGACCCCCGAAATGGGGACAGTTGGTTGTAGAGACGGGGAGCAATCCGATAGATGGTCCGTCAACAACACAATTCAAAACTCAAGATGGCCTGAGAAAACATCACATTAGAAGCAGTACATCAGGCAAGGAAATGAGGGAGGAAATACTGCCTCGTCTCTTATTGTCTTGAATCGTGGATTACTGTTCAGCTCTTCAGATTCACTTTTCACTTCGATTTTTTTTAAGTTTATTTCTTTATTCTGTGAGAGACAGAGGCAGGGCGAGTAGGGAGGGGGCAGAGAGAGAGGGAGAGACAGAGAGGGAGACAGAGCTGTCAGTGCAGAGCCTGACGTGGGGCTCGAACTCACAAAAACGTGAGATCATGACCTGAGCTGAAACCAAGAGTTGGAGGCTTAACCAGGTGCCCGTTCACTTCAATGTTAAATCAACTTCTGTGATCCAAGGGTACAGCTGGTTATCTTCTGGGTCGCTATATCTTAGTGCCCAGCCCAGCAGCTTGCATGTTATAAATATATAACATATATTTCAACATATATGTTGAATCAATTTGATTTGAGGACGGTCATTCCAAAAACATGCTGAACATGTTAAAGAAAGAAGGGTTCCACGAATGGGCCCAAATTTGTATCTTATCATTTCATCATGGATCTTGGGAGGATGTGGGAATTGACTCAGATTCCGTAACGTTCCTGGAAAAGAATGCCATGGGCACTTGAACCTCAAAAAGTTGAGACAAGAATAAATTACGTAGAGGCTAAAATTGCATTCTGACCCTACGCTCACAAAAATGGTTTAGTAATGGAACAAAACAATCACGCACCAAAAGGAGCTCCTGATGAGTTCAGATTGTGTTTCAAGTGCGTCTACACAATGGAAGAGGAAATAAATGTAGGTAAACACGGAAGAGTGCCCCACACTCACACGGCTTTGGGGAAATGACGGAATATAAAATAGGCCCTGTTTTTGTTTTTGTTTTTTTAATTTGTTTGTTTTAGGCAATTTCAGTTTGGGGACCAAGAGTAAGAAAAAAGATACACCCATCAGTTGAGGCAATGACAGAAAGAAAGTAGGTATTTCTAACACTCAGTTTTGCTTTGATCTTTTTTTTGGCGGTGGGGGGGTGGGGGGTGGGGAGCAGAGGAAGGGCAGAAGGAGAAGGAAAGAGAGAACACTTAAGCAGTTTCCACACCCATCGAGGAGCCAGAAGCAGGGCTTGATCTCACAACCCTGAGATCATGACCTGAGCCAAAATCAAGAGTCAGACGCTCAACTGACGGGAGCCACCCAGATGCCCCTGTTTTGATCTTTCATATCAAGAAGGGAGGTGTTGACACGGAAACTGAACGGACAAAGAGAGCTGGCTGGGAAACGAAGTTCGAGTCACAAAGGGTTCCTTTATAAGAGCTCAAGCATTCTGGCTTAAACAAATTACATCTCATGACCCTGACCCAGTTTACCGATGTGACCAAAAGCCAGGCGGTAACCTTCAAGACATTAAGAAAAGTGTAGAGGATGGGGACACGTAAAAGTGTCTTAATTTCTAAGGAGAAAAATAAGGTGGATTCTGGAAACAACACACCCATCCACTTGGATGTGAACTCACGGCAGAATCCTAAAGTGGTGTAATGAAGGAGTCGGTGAGCATTTAGAAAATAAAGCAGCCAACACCAACAAACCTCAGTGGTTCGGTAAAAACTGGCCAGGCTGATCTCGTTTTCTCTTTCGAGAGCATTGTGAGGCAGGTGAGCAAGGAAATGCAGACATGTCTTGATTTTTGCCATTGGGAAAGTCCTTCCGGGCGTCTGGTGGACAAAGGACTAAAAGTGGGCTTTAAAAGTTGGCTACAGCTGTATACAGTTCTCCCAAAACATAACTTATTGAAAAACTACACCCAAAAGGTATTGACCAGGGGCTGCGAGATTCCGTATTTTAGCCTTACCCTAATCAATATGGATCCACAAGATTAAGACTTCAGAAGAAAAGTTCACCAATTCCATGGGTGACACCAGGAAGGAGTGCCAGCCTATGGGACGCAGAATCGTGAATCAAAGGTATCTCTGGAAGCAGCAATGATGCAACAATATTTTAAATTCAAATAAAAAATGAACTCAATAAATTCCAATTTTACAAAATTTCATCGAAAATTCTAATCCTCCACTGTATAGATCCTTGGATACAAACATAGGACGGGGTCTCTGGAAACAAGTCAAGGGACCATCAGACTGTCAAAGAGGACGATAACTTGCCTTGACACAGGTCACAGGAAAAGACCCAGAAGTTATGAAGGAAAAGTGGGAAACGTAGGGTGAAAACAAACTTCCTTGGAGGACGTGCGTGAGAACTGCCTTCATACAGTTGAAGGTCTGTCCTCTGAATGAGAAATCAGACAAGTCCACATAGTCAAGGGGAGACCCCTCCTCGGAGGTCACAGGGACTAGAACTTGGACTCCATTAAAACATTTCTTCTGGGAGCACCTGTGTGGCTCAGTCGGTTAAGCATCTGACTTGGGCTCAGGTTATGATCTCGAAGTTCATGAGTTCAAGCCCCGCCCCGCATCAGGCTCTGTGCTGATGGCTCGGAGCCTGGAGCTGCTTCGGATTCTGTGTCTCCCTCTCTCTCTCTGCCCCTCCCCCACTCGCACTCTATCTCTCTCTCTCAAAAATAAATAAACATATAAAAAAAAATTTTAGGGGCGCATGGGTGGCTCAGTTGGTTAAGTGTCCGACTTCAGCTCGGGTCGTGATCTCGCCATCCATGAGTTCGAGGCCCGCGTCGGGCTCTGGGCTGATGGCTCAGAGCCTGGAGCCTGCTTCCGATTCTGTGTCTCCCTCTCTCTCTGACCTTCCCCCATTCATGCTCTGTCTCTCTCTGTCTCAAAAATAAATAAACGTTAAAAAAAATTTTTTTAAGACATTTCTTCTAATGTTCACTATCCAAAACTACGATGAGCTGCTGTGCGAGGTAGTGAGGTCACTGCCACTACGCAGCTGAGTGGCCCAGCCAGACGGAGTGGATGCTAAGACACTGAAGGTTCGAGACACTCGGTGTCCATGCCTGGAGTTCATCATGTGGCTTATTCCCTTACCCACGATACCCATGATCTAATGAGGAGGGCAGCGTGGGGGACTGGTTAAAATCTCAGCACCGACCTGCCCAGGTTCGAGTCCCGGCTCTGCCGCTTGCTCACCATGTGATCACAATGACTTCGAGCAAGTTAACTGACCAGCACCCCCCCCACCCCCGCCCGAACCACAGTTTCCCCATCTGCAAAAGAGGAGGATATGAGCTGCTGTGAAGGTTAAGTGAGTTCATAATGGCCACACGGTACCCAGAAGTGCAACACAGAGCTTGCGGTCTATTCTGATTACTCGGCAATCTTTTGGGATCACTCTGAAGGTTCCCGGCTACTGAATGTAGGCACCTGCGCAGACAGGAGAATATCACTAGAAGGTGAGAAAGAGGAGGCAGGTGCTTAGGGATTACTGCAAACAGAGAGAACAGCACAGCAGGGAGCAGGAGGGAGAAGCCAGAGACCTTTCTCCCCTGGTGGAGATTTCCATCCCCGGGCCACCCTCAAGATGCAAGCCACTGTCCCATCTTTTGTGGTCAGTGAGAGTCTGAGGGACGGAGGCTGGAGTCTAGGGAGCAGCCTGCACTGAAGTTGGCATTGGCTTCTCGGGCTCCTCTCCCAGATCCATGATCCGGATGGTGTTTTCCTTCTTGGAAAGCCAGAAGGCAGGGTAGACCGGCTCCGAAAACTTGCACTCAAACTTGTGAACCAGAGTCATGGCGTCAGACTCCACGCCGTAGAAGGACAGGATCCCTCCCGGAAAGTCGACGTAGATCCCCAGCCTCCGGAAAGGCCTGGCTTTGAGCGGGGTCTCCGTGTCACTGTGCCAGGCTGTGAACTCCTTCCCATTCCAGTGGAGGCTCCAGGAGAAGTCGTTCCCAGAAATGCAACCGTTGCGCTCATCCCCCTTCCGGTCGATGCCTCTGCAGGTGAGGCCAACATAGGTGCCCGCCCCGGAGGTCTCGACCTCAAAATAGTACCTGTGCAGGTACAGGCTCTGCTGCGACAGCACCTGCCGCCAGTGCACAAACCTGCTGGGGAGGTCCGGGTAGGGATGCTCCCAGGGCGTGGTGTTGGTGACCTTGCGATTGTCCTCCTGCAGCCGGAGATACCTGTGTGCCGTGTCCGGGTCAAACGAGATGTCACATGCATCTGAGGAGGTACAGAAGGGCAGGAACTGACGGCGGATTCGGACGGAACACTTCAAACCCAGCCAGCCTCCCAAGCATGAGAAAACACCTCTCTCTGCCTCTCTGTTTACTGGGGCGACTGTCCAGCCCCCCACCCACCCCCCACCCCCAGGAAAGAGGTGGGTGAAAACCAAAACAGAAAGAACTCAAATCACTCCACTTCCTTCCTTTCTGAAGTTCAAATCGCCGGGCATTTGTTGTATTATTTGCTGAGCTGAATCAAGACACAAAATCCACGGATTCATTCACTCTCTCGCCCATTCATTCATTCATTCATTCATCCAACAAATATGTATCGAAGGCCAGACACTCTTCTTCTCGGTGTGGGCCAGGGCTGGTGGAAATACGCACTCACCCACCCACACGCGATTCTTTCGTTATGTATTTATTTATTTATTTTTAGATGTGCATTTATTTATTTTGAGAGAGAGAGAGAGAGAGAGAGAGAGCGAGCAGGGGAGGGGCAGAGAGTGAGGGAGACAGAAGCCCAACCAGGCCCTGTGCTGTCAGCACAGAGCCTGACGTGGGGTTCGAGCCCACGAACCGTGAGATCATGACCTGGGCCAAAATCAAGCGTCAGATGCTTAACCCACTGAGCCACCCAGGTGCCCCTTTTCATTTTTTTTTTTTTAATTGACCAATATTTAGCCTGGTGATTGCTCAAACATTCCCTCAAACACATCCTCTCGCCAACCCCGGAGAATAAAGATAATAATGGCACCTCCAGGCACCCAGTTGCTCAAGTCACGCTCAAGTTATTTTTGAAATGTCTCTGCCCTCAACCTCACCCCCCACCTGGCTCCTCCCTCCTCTCCACCCGCCCCCACCCACAGGCAGCATCAAGCCCTGTAGATCCCACTTCTGTCCAGCCCGCTGCTTCACCCCCGATCTAGTCCAGAACGGGCTCTTTGCTGGCCCCTCGGCCGTGACCCCCTTCCGGCCCTTCTCCACGACAGAGCCACAGGGTATGTTTCAGGGTACAGGCTAAGGGAAATCATGTCACCCCAGCTTAAAGACCTTTGATGGGGCCCTCTGCCCACAGAATAAAGCAGTGACCCCCTCACCCCCGCCTGCACAGCCACGCATGACTGGCCCTGGCCTGTGTCTCCAGCCGCACCTCCTGCCCTCTGCCCCTTGACTGCCACACTCCAGCCACCCTGACCTCAGAAGCACGCAACACTGAGCCCTTTAGCACAGACCATTTCCATCTGCGACATGATCATCGCCGACCCTGAGCCTAGGTCATTCCTACCGATCCTTTCAAATGGTAGCTAACGGTGCATGTCCTCAAAGAGGCCCTCTGTGACCATAATCTGGGGCAGATGACTCCCCATCACTTTCTCTCGGAGCACTCTGGCCGTTTAAACTTCATGGTGCTCAGCAAAATGTGTATAATCCATTCATTTGTGTGTTTGTTTCGTGCCTGTCTTCCTTCCAGTCTATAAACTCCACATGTCACATGGGACTCTATCTTGGGCTCTTATATTTTCCAAGTGAATTAGCATATTCAAGTCTATTTAAATTCCAGGGACGCCTGGGTGGTTCAGTCGGTTAAGCACCCGACTCCTGATTTCCACTCAGATCATGATCTCATGGTTTCTGGGCATGGAGCCCCATGTCGGGCTCTGCGCTGACAGCTTGGACCCTGCTTGGGATTCTCTCTCTCTCTCTCTCTCTCTCTCTCTCTCTACCTCTCTTTCTCTGCCCCTCCCCTGCTTGCACTAGCTCTGGTTCTCTATCTCTCTCTCAAAAATAAATAAATAAACTTTTTTTTTTTTTTTTTTTTTTTTTAAAGGGAGTCATTTGGTAACTAACCAGGATCTTCAAAAGTGCCAAGGTCATGAAAGACAAAGAAAAACTAAGGGACTGGACCCAGACTGGGAGAGACTCAGGAGGCACGGAAACATTTGTGATCCTGGATCAGACTATGGGCCAGAAAAAGGACACTGGTTGGAGCACTTGGTGAAACACTTGAATAAATTCTGTAGATGAGCTTACAGCAGTGTGCCAATGTCCGCTTCCTGGTTTCGGTCAACGCGCTGTAATTATACAAAGCGTTAACGTTTGGAGAAGCTGGATGAAAGGTCGACGGGAATTCTTTGTCCTGTTTTCGCAACGTTTTTGTAAATTTGAAATTGCCTCGAACGTGAAAAGTAAAAAAATAACTTTTTCGTTAAATTGTTTATATGTCCCATTTAGGGATACACCTGGGGTTGCGAGAACCTGAAACTTAATGAGAGATGGTGCTCTTGGGGCGCCTGGGGGGCTCTGTCGGCCAAGCGTCTGACTTCGGCTCAGGTCACGACCTCATGGGTTCATGGGTTCGAGCCCCGCGTCGGGCTCGGTGCCGACAGCTCGGAGCCTGGTGCCTGCTTCGGATGCTGTGTCTCCCTCGCTCTCTGCCCCTCCCCCCCCTTGTGTGCGTGCTCTCTCTCTCTCTCTCTCTCTCTCTCAAAAATAAACATTAAAAAATTCTTTAAAAATTTTTAGAAGAACAAAAGAGAAAGATGGGGTCCGTGCTTCACCAGAGCATTACGCTGACGTCGATGAGAGGGGAAGAGGAAGCTGTTCACAACTTACACTGGAGGAACTGGTGCCGGGTGCTGGGCTCAGGTTTTGAGGTCCAGTACTTGCGCTGGACCACGGCAGACACTTGAGTTCTGATATCATATTCCTCTAGAAAAATCAGAGGGTTATGAACGCACACCTGTCCAGGTGGTCAGGAGAACCTAAGAAGCAGGACTTCCCAGCCACTCTTCCCTGGGCTCCCTGGGGGAAGGACTGGACTCCAGTCATGTCAGAGAGAGCTGTGCCCAATGGGCCACATTTCTCTCATGGGTGAAGCATAATACGCTGGAGAAAGATCCCAGACTGGCTTGGATTCCACTTAAAAGTATAGGCATTCACAACCTCAAAAACGCAAGCCAACTGCACGATGTAACTAACTCGACATCTCTGGGCCTCAATCACAAAATAAAATCATCAAACTAAGCGTCCATTAGCGACGTGGCCCGGCCAAAGGACGGCTTTGAAAATGAGACATTCCCCCTGATTTCCCCCGCTCTCCCCTGGCTGTCCCTCACCTTCCCCACCAACTACTCTGAGAAACACTCATACCACAGCCCACGGCCCGGACAGCTTCTCACCTTCCTTGCAGAAATCCTGGAGCTGGACCTTGTAGTTCTGTAGCAACTGGATTAAGTGAACAGTGGAGTCTGTGATGACCTTGCGGATGCCCGAGAGCTTATCCTTGAGTCCTATGTAAACACTCGGGAAGGCACCGTCCTCAGTGTTCTTAAACTTGCAGTACTCCTGCAGGTGAAGAAAACATGGCAGAATGTGCCTTGATCTCTGCATTTCTTACACTGCTCTCATTACACCACTGGCTGCATCTGTAAAATGGGTTGATGGTAAGGTGCCCTTCAGAGAGCAAGTCTATGTAACATATCTAGCTCAGGACCTAACAACACAGAAGGTGTTTCTTTTTTAAACCGGGGAAGTGGGCTTTTAAAAATCAAGAGACACCGGGGCGCCTGGCTGGCTCTCTTGGTGGAGCATGAGACTCTTGGTCTCGGGGTTGTAGGTTTAGAGCCCTATACGGGGTGTGGAGGTTACTTAAAAATAAAACTTTCAGGGGTGCCTGGGTGGCTCAGTCGATTAAGCGTCCGACTTCGGCTCAGGTCGTGATCTCGCGGTCTGTGAGTTCGAGCCCCGCGTCGGGCTCTGTGCTGACAGCTCAGAGCCTGGAGCCTGCTTCACATTCTGTGTCTCCCTCTCTCTGCCCCTCCCCCGTTCATGCTCTGTCTCTCTCTGTCTCAAAAATAAA